ATATAATTGCTCGCAAGGTTCAATAAATTTTATTCAGTTAGCAAATAATAATAACATTAGTTTATTTAATAAAAATATGTTCACCATTTAATACAAATATGTTACTTTCGGTTACACGATTTATTTAGCATGTCCTATTTTTTTTATGGTTCACACTTGTGTAACGCCTTTTTATGTCTTAAAATAAAAGATATATTTATTTTTATTTTAATACTATATATATTTTGCTATTATATAAATACATATTTTCCAACTAATTAAGAATTACTACTAATATCTCTATTTTCTATCGCAGTCATAAAATAATCAGAAAATATTTTTTCGAATAATATAAAGATACATCAAATATTTTTTTTTTAAAAAAAATCAAACCCCTGAGTCACGAGTCGAAAATGTTTAGCGATAATTATTTGTTGTGATGAGAATTTTGATGATAGGAAAACCACAAATGTTGTTTATAATGAAGTATTTTAATAATATTTAGGTTCACTTTTTTAAATTATTATTATTTTTTTTCTTATTTATTAAGTTATATGATTTTTGTTTTATTTTATATTATTTTTATTACTTTTGAGCGTAAGACTTTAATTTTCTTATAAAGGACTGCACACGGACGCTTTCACTTGTGTCATGATTTTGGCCCAGTACATACATATACTCTAATAAATGGCCCAACAGCCCAAAATATTTTAATCCGCAAAATAAAATAAATTTTCGAAAAGCTGTTTAGAACAAGAATGTCCAAACTCCATAATTAAAACAGGTAACACAGTATCATTTCATTCATATGATGCAGATACAAATTACGACATTTCCGTTGTTATGGCAATACATTGTTTTGACACAACACACAACAAACCAAACGAAAGGGAAGATACTTAACCCAAAAAAAAGAAAAAAACCAACACAAAATCATATCATTATTATAACAACAACAACAACAACAACAACAAAAACAACATTAGTTCTTACTTATTATTTAGTCATATATTATATAGTTCTAATTCACCCGCCTGCAGTTTCTCCTGATCTCCCCATTCGACCCGGTCAACGGCTTCATGTCCCCCATTTTGACCATCGCATTTGCGAAATCCGTGGCAAACGCATAGGGATTAGTATAGTAGTTGTAAACATGATCTGCGGTCGTCTGGTTACCATTGAACAATTCTTGGTCCGAGTGGAGGAGCCCCTTCTTGTAAACGAGGTCCACGTAATAGTGATTGTCGAACATCGTGGGGGTCCATATATCCAAATTCGCCAGGCTGGTGTCATTCGATCCGGAGGCCGACGGGCATATGGACTGTAGGTTCTTCGCGAACGCCTTGTCCACATTGGTGTCGTTGTATATGTGGGCCCGGAAGGTGGGACATCTTGCTTTCCCGATAGTGTGAGCGCCTGTTTTATTGAATTTTTCCATTTTATGTATGTAATGATAATCGAATTTAAGTTGTGTTTGGTAAACCTAGCTAATAAGCCAGTATATTATAGAAAGGAACCAACCAGAGAGGGTCACGAGATCCTTGACCGAAAGGCCGTGGTTCTGGAAATTCGCGATAAGGGCAGAGAGGTTTGATAGTGGTGAAGGAAGGCCAGAAGGTTGGGCAGTGTTTGCTGCACTGAAGTTAGCTGTCCTGGAGTCTCTTCTTCCAAGCTTTACATCCCAATTGGGCCCGCCAAGCTGCAAATTAATTGTGTAGTATATATGTAAGGGTTATTTGTTGATTTATAAAATATACAAGATCAGCTTTGTCCCATGTGCATACTGTTGTGTTGCCTATTGTTTTAATTGTTATAAATTGTTATAACATGCCGATTTTATTAATCTTTGGGACCTCAATTGATTAGTGCTTGACCAACGTACGGCTTATTCCCTAGCTACCTAGTTAGACTTGGTGACTTACAATGTTGACGGAATCCCTAGCGGCAATGGCCAAGATATCGGCACAAGAGACCACGCCGGGGCAAACACTCTCCACAGCCTCCTTGATGTGGTCAATGACATCATATCCTCTGAGGGAGTTATGGTTGGGGCCCGCAGTCTTCTCTCCCTTGAGAGTCGGTGTATCGTCTAGCAAAATCGACCCATCACATCCCTGAACGAAGAGAGAAAGGTTCAAATCGTTAGTGCTGAGTTGCAATACTAACGATGAATTTTAGTTTCTGCTAGTAAGGAAACATCAAATCTGTTGGTATTCTGACAATTTCTTGTAGTGATACTTACACGTTTTCAACACCTTAAATCTATGTATGCATAAATGCATTATGGCACGATAAAATTGAGAAGAATCACGATACAAACTTTCCCTCGGCATCGAAAAAAAAAAAGGAAAAATAAATAATGTGTAGAAGACAACGCAAACTAAAAGTTTCGCGTACAATAAAGAAAACAATATTTATAATTGCGAAATAAGATATATAATGGAGTTTACATTAATGAAACAATCGTGGAAATGCATGCGAAGGAGAGAGGCTCCCATCCGAGGCTCGTTCTCAATCGCACGAGACACGGCATTTCTCACGGCATAATAAAGTTTGGGGCAAGCTGTCGAGTAATAATTTGGACCATAAAGATTAGCGCACGAGCTACTTAGGAGGACGAGGAGGACCGCGCAAGTTAAGAGAGCTTTGTAAGAAGGAAAAGAAGCCATTGGGCGGGGGAAAATTTTGGGTATTGTCGTTAATGAGTTGTGGATATGGAGATAATAGCTCGAGGCCTAAGTTTATATAGAGAAGTTGACAAGTGCTTCTTGTGCTACAGCTTAACTCATAGAATTCAACTTTTTAAAATTAAAAAAAAAAATATAATACTTTTTTTATTTGCACCGTACTCCTCTGTCCCGTGCAAATGCATATGTGGGTAAGAAAATGTAATAAATGCAAAATAGTGTGATTTAGTTAATGTGTACGTTGATTATACTCATAAATGTATATATATATATATATATATATATATATATATATATATATATCAATCAAAATTAGAAAATTTTTGAATTAAAAAGAACAATGTACTTATGTACATGTTAAAATTTCATATACCCAAAAAATATTATATTTTCAAATAATATGGATTTTTTAATTCAGACGTGTCAAGGCATTTCATTCGACAACTGAAAAAAGAAAAAAAAAAATATATAACTTATTACGCAACAAAAATAGAATAATTTGTGTCTACATATACATATAAGTCAATAATATTTAATTTACGTGATTGTTCAAAATAAATGGAGTAATTTATGAATCGCCGCAACATTTATATATAGAAAGTAACATTTATTAAATTCTAATATGGAGGAAGTATTCCACTTACTATATTTAAAACAAGCCCAAGTAATATATAAAATATATATATATATATATATATAGCTTAATTTCCAAATTGCGTTGCTGTTAATATATATAAAACCAAAAGTTAGCTTCCTAATTAATCAACCAAAAATTATTCTAACCAAACCTCAGCTAGTAATCAGCAAATCTTTATTTTCATAAATTATGTTGTGATGATGCAGTATAACTATATAGACCACGTCATAACAACATATACTTTATAAATAGTAGTATATCTTTAGGCACAATATTTTACAATTTTAAGATAAA